GACTGCACCAACTTGCCTGCCTTGGTCGGCTGGATGGCCGCAGCTTGGCTGGCAGAACTTGCACCCGCAGCACTCACGGAGTCTATCTTGGCACCCTTCCACACTGCAGCCACTGGCCGCCATGGAGCCACGCCAGTCTTCCCGGGTGTTGCTTCCACGGCAAAGCTTTCGTTGAACTGCCCCGCTTGATCAGTCATCCAGCCACCTGGCATGGAGCCCTGAGTTGGATGCTCGAACCACATCCTGCTGCCTTCCCGGTGGATCTTGATGCGGTAAATGGGGTTGTTCAACATGCCCATAACTGTCCAAGTGAGTTGCACAGGCTGACAGTTCTGGTTGGAATCCCAAGCGCGGCAGCAAATCTCTTCGCAGGCGGTGTCCAAGAGACGGCTCATGTCAACCTCCGTCTCCCACCAAGCCCAGCACCAGTGCTTGTCAGTTCCACGTGCTTCCGCGATCTCATCTTCTGGCCTTTGGAGCTCAGTGATCTCCCAAGACTTGCCCGAATCCAAGGAGATCTCCGCCCGGATGATCTTATGACCTCCACCGGTGTAAGCGTATCCGGAGACCTTGATGGTCTTGGGCAAGTTCTTCTCTTCCACAAAGGAGTTGTGACGCGGCTCGAACATCGCTGAGTTGATGTTCATGTGGTTGATGATATACTCAGGCTTGTACCACCATCCCTCTGCATAGGCAAGATCTGCATCAACATGCGGAGGAAGCACTCGGTTGTCGAAGTAGTGATAGTGGTTCTCGGAAGGCTTGTCTGAGACCCACATGCTAGAGAGCCATTTGATCATCCGGCCACCGATGCAACCCGGCAACAGCGTTCGCAGAGGAAAGCCATGGTCCGGGGTCAGCAGCTCTCCATTCTGCTTGAAAGCCAACAGCACATCTCGCTCCCTGTCAAGCGCCCAGCCCAAATCAATGGAAGTGCCATAGGATCCCGTTTTCCCTTGAGGCAACTCACCCAGAGGACCTTCGAAATGGACGAAGCGATGCTCTTTAGAAGGCCGTGTGATGCCAACCGCTGCCAACAAGTCGCACAGGCGGACTCCTGTCCACACGGAGTTCCCAACGGCTCCGGCTCCCCAATCGAATCCCACTGTCTTCTTGGTGAGGTTCTGCTCCTTGCGCCTGTTGCCGGCACAGATAAAGGTCACTGGGATCGACACAATGGTGCCCCATTCACCAGATGTGATTTGCTCCATGCTCAGCTCCACAGGCTTTGGGACTCCTGTGATCTTCAGCCGATGCTCGGACCAGGAGAGCTGTGGCACTGCTCCATGGTTTCGGACCACATACAAAGCAGGGGGTGTAATCCAACCAGCTGCTTGCAAGTTCTTGAGAGGTGGCTCCGAGTTGAAAGGATGCATACCAGTGTTCCGCAGCATGTCCGGATGACGCTTGATCCACTTGTCCGGGGTGTTGGCGTCCCGCGCATCGACTTCAGTAGCATCCTGACGACCGGGAATTTCTAAGCTGGTGTCCCAAAGAGCTGTGGACAGCGCTATCCGGCCATCCACGATCTTGCCGTCCCTTGTCGCCTCCATTGGTCGGTGAGAAGCTACGCCACGCTATTAAGGCAGCTAAGAGTCTTCAGCCAAAATGGCTAATTACGGTGAATTTCGACTCGAACATAGCAGGGATGAAGCCGGTCCAGGCTCCGCTCAAGGCGCTGCTACCCGGACTGCTGTTGCAGAAGAGACTCCGTGTCCACGGGAAACAGACGTGGAAAGGGCTCGAACAGGAATGTCAGAAACGGCAAGCTGTCCTTGGGTCCGGCAGAGAAGGTGCCCTAAATCCCAAACTCTGAACCGTGATTTGCATGTCAAACCCTTCTAAAACCACTATAAAGCAATATACGACCCTTGCAAAACTAGCTTCTTGAGGCCTAAAGAGCACCGAAATTTGGCTCAGCCACTGAGCGTGGCAAGTGAAGGTCCTTCGAGACCTCAAGGAAACTCAAGGAAGCAAAAAAGTGCCTTTTACGAGATCCGTGCTTCCGGTATTGCTTAACTTGGAAAGGCTTCGGGGTTGGGGCTTGGGGCGTTACACTCTCACAACTCGGACAAGAAAGGCGCGGTCTACCAGGAGGCTTACACTGCGCCTGCAGACTTCAAAGTGCTGGCGAACGGCCCAGGAGCCATCCTCCAATCGGATGCAGGCTTCCAGGTAGTAGTTCCCAAGGAAAAACGCAGTCACCGCAAGAAGGAAGCAGAGCCGGGCTGGGATGATATAGCCTTGTGCACACTTGGATGGCAAAGACTTGGCTAAAGCTGGCTCTCTTTGGCAATGTGTACTCCGAGCCACCATAGAGACCCGGCGAGAACCAGCTCCTGATGCGCAGGTACGGAGACACGGTTTTGGGAGCCCTGTTGTGCACTGTCAGACTTCTTCTTTTTCTTGTTAAGAAGGTCGTCGGTGTGTCGATCCATAGTTTGGTGCATGCCGAAAGCCGGCAGACAAATCTACTTGACATGACCCGGGTCACGTGCCTACGAGGGTTTCCCAGACTCAAGATCCGGCACATGCTTCTCGGCTCGCAGTGACTTCCGCCCGCTCCTCTTTAGCTGTAGAAAACTTGTAGCGATTTATTGGGCTGACTACTGGCAATCACTTTAACTTCATGTCAAGTTGAGTTCAGCCTCCTGACAACAGTCCAAGCATCCAACGCTTGCCCTCCTCGTGCAAGACGAAATCCTTGGAGTTCATCGCAGGTGACATTATCCTGCATAAGAGGTCGCTATATATGGGATATGTTACTATACACGGCCAAACCAATACAAAGCAAGAGCGAAGAGAGTGGAACAAATTGCTGCAGCCTGGAAAGGCGGGCGGTGATCTAGGCATGCAGAATCGGAGCTGCCTGTGAGAACGGTCCCGGGGTTTAAGCTCTGGTTCCATAGATCTGGGTCGGTGTGATACGAGTACCAGGAGCTGGTCACGGTCCTGGCATTTAGGTTTTGGGGTTAAGTCCTTCCTACGGGTGCTTATAAGTTCTCTTGAGTAGAACTCTTCTTGCACAAGGGACTCGACTGCTGCCCTTAATGCCCAGCACTCTAAACCCTGAGATCTTGCCTAGCGAGACCGTCGCCTCGGAGAAACGCAGACCACGAAGCAATCGAATCCAGCTCAAAGCAGGCAAAGCTCATCTTGCAAAGAGATCTGTTGCGGCTTGGCTGAGGGACAGCCCTCCAACATTTCCTCAATTGCTCGAGCTGCTACCGCATACAGTGAGGAACACGTGATAGTCTTCCAAATACTCTGGCTGCCTCAAGATCGGCTGTGTGCCTCATGTCTGCTATCAGTTGTGAATGGTGAGCTATATGTAACTACTCAGACCAGAGAGCCTCCAAAACCCTGTCTGGAATTATGGTCTCAGCGGTTCGACGCTCAGAATGTGCCGCCTGCCATGGCCGGTGCAACACAGCCGGGCGTTGAAGTCGTTAGCCGCCGACTACCCGCCATTAAATTGATGAAAATGGAGCGGGGAGCGACAAGAACCCGCAACCTCTTAGATTCTTGGATTTCGATGCAGGCAGGCTTCAAGAATAGCCTTTGTCTGGTTCGGCAGCATCGACATCCTGCAAAGGAGTTCAACCGAGGTTCGGCTACCATGTTGGCACAGGCCAAAGTAAGCAAACCGGTCACCAACACTGTGTTAAGAGCAGCGGTCGTGAGCTCATCCAGGTTCAGGATGAACGCAAGTGCCACGCAGTTGATGATCATGTCCTCCAGGTGTGAAGCTAGCAAGCACAACTTCCATAGCTGCAAATCTTAAGCCTGGATCTTGGCTGCCATGCTTGTAATGGCCATGCCCCAAGCTTACTTACGACCCGGTGCAGTAGCTCCTCTATCTCGGAAGTCTCCATGAGGAAAACGATGCCGATGTCAACAGTCAATATCCATATGTACCTTGGTCTTATGTTGAGAACTGCAAGCAGGGCGACAATCAGGCGAACGGGTTAAACCGCGAAACTGCTTGGACATATTTATAAACACGACGACTTCATCGCCAGTAGGCCAAGTTGTCGCTTTGAAAACAGCCCCTTTCTGACACAAGGGTTACCAAGTTACTCCCCAAAGGTTCTATATGGGTTAAGCGTGGCTACTGCGAGTCAATGGACGAAATACTGCCAAAGCTGCAGAGCCACTGTATCGGCTTGGCATGCGTTGGGGCAAGCTTACACCTGAATTACCTGTAGGCTTCTGGCCACGACCGGTGAACCATGCACATGTCTGGTTTAGGCAAAGTACATCTTCGGGCACAGGATCAAGAAGAAGTTGATGATTTTCCTGGCACGAGGTGTACGGTCAGAATGCCACAACGAAAGTGATTGCAAAGCCCTTTGATGCAACGAGTAGCCAATGAAGTGGAACACCAGCGACTCCTCAGGATTGTTCTGGCCCGTCTTGCTTAGCTTGCGGCTTCGGGTGAGCCTGCTCTACTCTCCCACCGGTAGATGCTGTTAGTTGTGCATGAAGTTTTGCCTCAGAGAAAAGTTGCATGGCCCCTGCGCAAGGAAGCATGGCCATTACCACGGTTCGGATCACACGCACAAAACGATGTGCGGAGATGGCTCAAGACATCCGTCTTGCAACTTACGGGCAAGACGATGATGTGTGCGATTGATGGGTTTCGCGAGCCTTGAGATTGGGCCCAGGCCTGTAATCTATGGCTAGATCGTACCATCATTTAGATGATCTTCCTCAGTAGTGTACGTTTGCAATTGCCGCGGAGTCCTGTCGCGTTGAATGATACTCCGAGTCATTACCGCACTGTTACGGCTGCGCCATCCCCCTTCAAATCCTCATAACCTTCAAGAGGTGCTATGCCGAGGCAGGTGTCGGAATCGAACAAAGTCCATGCGCCAGTCATCGGGATTGTCATCACTGTGCTCTCGCTTGCGCAGCTCCTGCCGAACTGCACGGACTCAAACATGCCTTGCCAGTGAGGTACTTCCATGTCATGCCGGCCCCCTTATAATGTCCACGACGTCTACGGGGCATAGCATAAGTTAGCAACTGATCGCCTCCCAGTTTGTCTCCATTATCCATGGTTCCGATTTCGTCGGCACACCGATCAGGAGCGCCAGTATGTCCTGAGCTCTCAGCTGACTGCCGATTCAGTTGCAATGACTTCATGGCATCCGGAAACAAGCTGTGGAGATCCCGGGGATGTGGCACTGCAGAAAACTGCATGCCCTGCACATTTGGAATGGCTGTCAGGCTTCCCAGGACCCAGCGAGATCTGGCCAAAGACCCAGCACGAATATGAAGCAGCAGATCATTCGGAGGTAGTAGCCTCAGTTGTGCGCTTTGGACGTGGCATGATCGAAGATCTCTTATATATTGGCACGGTGCGGGCGGCGAGTGGCCAAGGTGCTGCAGTCGGTGTGTGCTGCAGGTGCGGGCAGTGTGTCCACAGGTGAGTGGGCGGGGGTGTGGCCGGGCATGCACGGACAACGGTCATTTGTGGCAGGAAGGCATGATCCAAACTTAAACTTTCCCGCGTTGTATAGTGTTACAAGCACCTGCCAGTAGGTACGGAGCCCAGCAAAGTGGAATGCAGAAGCATGTAGGGGTCATGAATTCGGACGCCGGCTCCAGCTCCAGCCAAGCAGCTCTCAAGACCATATTCCCCGGGATCCACCATCCCCTGCAACAGTAACAGGACTGTGGGAACACGGCTTGCCAGGGCCAGGATTTAGCCACCCAGCCCGCCTCGATGTCCTCTGCCCTGTCCTCAGAATGTCAAAGATGCCATTACTTAGGGACTTTGGAGCCTTTTTGGGTACTAAAAACCATAAATAAGGACTACTTGGACCCATACTGCCATAAGTCCAAGCGATCCCTCCCAGAGCTGGCCGACTGCTGGGCGAAACTGGGTGCAGTTGGGAGATGTTGGGAGCTCTCGGGGGGGGCCTCTCCTGTCGCCATGATGCCTCTGCTCTTCTACATCCTCGTTGATGTGCAAGAACGACTGATGAAAATGAAGGCATTGACACGAAGCACGATGATGATGGTGATGACAATGATGATGACGACGATGGTGGTGAATTTGCGGACCCATGAAATGTGTGTCATGGCGGCGGTCGCGACGACAACGATGATTGTAATCAATAACCACAATCACGAAACATAACCGTGAACAGATCAAGACCGTGGCCGCAACCATCATCATGTTCTTCTTCTTCATGGTCACCTCCATCATCACCACCACAACAACAACAATCATCAGCGTGGTGCCGCCAGCGCTGGCGCTGTTGCGGCTGCTGCTGCTGCTGCTGCTGCTGATGGCCCTTGTGCCGGTGCTGGTGCTGTATTTGCGGCGGCGATTGCTTGATACTCTTGCCCTAGGCCTAACCCATCTAAACCCTGAACATGGCTGGATTCTCTTCTATCAGTCACCAAGGTGCTGGGAACAGGGCCTTGAGCGAGTCCCGAACGAAAACTCGGGTCGTCCAAAGCTTCCAATCGTACAGGCGATCCTTACTTCGCTCAATCGCCTTTCCAATCCAGCTCAGAGAACATATTGGATGATAACGTCACTACGTCGTACAGCCTGTACATCGGACAGGAATACCGGCACATCACACAGAAAGAACAACATCTTCGATCGGGCCAAGGGTGGATAGAAAATAACGGAAACAGGATGTGTTTAGCTGGCCCCGTTGTGTCTACAGGTCTTTCTGTCTCCGCCTGGTTCCCAAGTTGACCTTCCTTCAACACCGCCGCCGCCACCACCTCCCTCTCTCTTTCATCCTTCCTACCACCGCAGTCTGTCTTTTGTTGCCGCGTAGTTGGCACGATGTCCGCGCTTGCTGGCAACCATATGTTAGAGACTAGTCGGACCGTACCCGGAACACCCAAGTCTCGGAAAACGGTGCTGAAGGTTCTCCAAAGCACAGGAGTGTAAGCCGTACCGCCAGGTCCGATACAGTTCTTGCCCTCTGGACACTCTCCGGAGTGCGCGCCTCGGATGGAGCAGCGAAACTCGACGAAAGTTGAGTTCAACTCCACGAGCCGAGAGAGCTCAGCTTCGCTACTCGAGGTGGCAACTGGGTTCGAAGCCGAGCATCCGAAGTCACAGAGGTGCATCTGTCCTCCGAACTTGTCCTTACAAAACCCACGGGACCATGACAAGACAGTGTCGATGCTTCCGGTTCCATACAGCGCAGCACATACGAGTCGCCACGAACAGAGTCATGGAACTTCACTTCCAAGCATCCCTCTAATTGGGCCCGACAGGTCTGAATCAGGTTGAGACTCCAGTGTTCGTAGCTCCTTCGACAGCATGTAAAGGAGAAATCCTTGAAGAAGAAGATTCGTCAAAAGAAACATCATGCCTCGGACGCCATGGTGTCAGGCAAAGTTCAGTGGGTCGGCGTCTTAACCAGAAAATCGTCGAAAGTCTGCGACAGGAGAGCACCGGCCGAGTTTCTGTGGCAGGCAAGGCTTGTGTATTCCAAACTCCACCCCGCAGTGCGAGCGACCTGTGGCAAAGCCAGTGCTGCTCCGTAAACGGAGTCGTTCCTCGGGCACTTGGCACTTCTGAAGATCGGCTGCGTACTTCTTGGGTTTCTGCATGAGACTGCTAAAAACAGCTTGCGCACAGCAGTAAATGCTTGAATTGGCAGCAGGGGCGCTCAACGGTGATAAGCAACCTGAACGAGCCGGCGCTCCACTGCCAATCGAGGGTAGTCTCTGCCCGTCACGAAGCTTCGTTCAAGCAAGTCACTTGGCTTTCTCGTTGAGTGTGCGCAGTGCCCTGCCTGCGAGGACTTGCACCTCATGATGCACGAAATTGCTTCCTTGTAGCGCAGCCGGACAGCTCTGAGTTCCTAGCCCTCTGCTCCTCTGGCGTCAGCTTCTTCCATTCCTGTGCTTTCTCAAGAGCTCAGAACGAAGAAGCCCAAGCAGCCAGCCTACGGCCTTACAAAGTGGCTGAAACCAAGGTGCAATTTTGACAGACTCGGACGCCCCGACGGCCGTGCCCTTCAAAGAGCTCTGTGCAGCGCTGGGGTAGTTCTGCAAGCGCTGCGATGAGCCCGAACCTCAAAAAAAAACAGGCGCCAGTTCTTCAACATGTGGCAGGCTGGCTTGTGCATTCCTTCACATGGACGGTGACAATGCATCTGAGATTCTGCCATCCTCAACATCATCAAGGCTCTCCTGCGATAGCGAAGCTGCACTTCGACAAGGCAAAACGACGGCAAGATGAAATGAAGGACAGCACAGGCAGCGCACTGTAGAAACCTCCTGGTCGCTGTCTGCATCGGGGACGAGCTTGTAGCCATCTTTCCTTCTTGTGACGCTGCACCAGTATTTTGACACTTCAAAAGTGGACCGCCAGGAGTCTTCTCGGTCTCTAGCTGTCTGAACTTTCAACTGGACGAGCTCAAGAAGGGAAAGCATGTGCAGCAGTCCCTGGAATGCACACAACTTCTTTGAAGTCAACAGCAACAGCTCCGAATCCAAAAACTCGTCGGCTGCAGCTGGGCGTCTGGTCGGACATTCAGGTGCGCCCAAATTCATTCATACTGCAAGCGCCAGGATCCGGCTTGCGAGCTACATCGTCTGCTGCAGCAGCTTGACGCGCGAGCTGGTTAACAGTAGCAACGGCTGCAATGCCAATCTGTCAAAACTGGGTGTGTTTGTGCGTCCGTCTGTCCGTCCATCTGTCCATCTGTCTGCCTGTCTGTCTGTCCGTCTGTCGTCGGTCTGTCTGTTCTGTCTGCCAGTCTGTCTGTCTCTGTCTGTCTTCATGTTCTTGAGTTGTTGTGCGAGGATGCTGCCTTGCATAGACTGGTTTTCGATTCGTCGTGCTCATGAGCCAACCCCCGTGAAGGCAATACGCCAATCAACGGGTTCAAGGGCAGTCACCAGACATCAGCAGACATCTGAGAGCATGACAACACTATGCAGTTCGCCCCCTCCCTGCTGAGTGCCGCCTGAAGAGTGGCACAGTCAGGGACATGTCAAAGACTGTTCTAAAAACAGCACCGGATACAAAAGAGGTGCAGCTCAGAAGGAAAAGCTTAGATCCTGGCAATGAAGAAGTAGGAGGCGATGAGGCCCGCAAGGCCCTGGGAAGGCACGGCAGAATTTGGAAGGAGGCGAGCTTCCGTGAAGAGGTGTAGTGCATGATAGTTGTTAAGGTCTGGATTCTACATAATGGAGAGCTCTTGAGGAAGCGCGTGCGGCATGCAGCTTGCCATCTTTACTCGCAGCGCCATGTCATCACCACAGCTGTCAAGTTGTCCCCGGAACCAGCCGCAAATGCGTGCCTGACCTGAGATGCAAAAGCGCAACAGGCCAGCTGACCCCACATGGAACACGCCTCTAAGGCGCACGCCAGCGAGTGGGAAGCCAATTCCACTCCAGCTGCGCTTGCACAAACCGCTGCTGCGTCACTGTCCTGCTGACTGCCGTCTTGTGGGCATGTCTGACTTTCACGTTAAATCAAGGCCGTCTCCTGAAGTACATCCCAAACACCGTCGCATGCAAGGACCAGAAAGCGATCTACCTGGGCTGCATCTGCTCTTGGGAGCCAGTCAACCAGGCTGTCAGGCAGGCAGGGAAGCAGTGAAAAAGCCCCTCAATATTACTTACTGAACCTACAGGTAAATCTAATCCAGGCATCCATTCTGCTCGTATTTGTTTGTGTCTAACCAAGAGGAAGCACGCGGTTCATTCCTTGTCTCTGCTCTTTGTGTTTTAACCAAACATAAGTAACACATCAAGGATAGGTGTATATTCTAAAGGTAATTTCTAAGTCTACAGGATCAACTAACCTTCGTAACTAATATCTTCTTAGTAAACTCTCCTATAATATCCTGGTTCAGTATTTTCTCTTTTCCCTTTTATTCAGTTCATGCTTCCGCTCTCTTCTTTCACTACATTGTAATAACCGAATAAAAGAGAAAAAGGAGAGAGAATTAGAATGAAAAATCCAGTACTTGTTTTATTTCTTGCCTGTGTTACAAGTGAAAGAAAGAAGCAGGCGTTCACTACTCTTTGTTTCGTTAACTTGTCTTCTGTCTTTCAATTCTCACACAGGGGTTCCACTCACTCCGTTCACCACACTTAACATTGCAAAGGAGAAACGAAGCGAATGAAATGGGTCTTTTGTTGCCCCTTTTTGCTTGATTGAATTAAAGGCAATGAAACGAGATGAAAGCACTGTGTCGATGTTTTGTTTCATCGAAGCTAGTGATAAAGAAAGTTAGTCAGTTAGGTTGTTGGTCAGTTCGTTTGTTCGTTACTGTGGTGAATCTGCGAGTGAGTCAGTGAGTGAGAGAAAGATAGTTAATATTCAGCAGAGACTTGGTAGCAAGTTTGTCAGCTAGCTGGCTAGAAGCACTGGTTGCTACCGTCGTCGCAGACTGTGCCGTATCCGGACGACTGACACCACCACCACCACGAACCGCACTGAGCCTGTCACTGCAGGGTCCAGTTCCACCACTCGCAACTCTGGCTCAGCGGTGACCAAACCGCCTCGGACCTGGGTTAGAGCCACGATCAGCAAGAAGGAATCATGATCCGAGCCCTTGTTGCGATCAGTGCTACTCATATGTTGATGGAACTGTTGGATGGCGGTGCAGGGTGAGCTGAGAAGCCCCGTGGGCTAGGTCGATGATGCGCTCGCAATCTGGATGGGGCACCTGCGCGCAGCCATACTTCTGGGGCTCTTTGAGAAGGAGGTCGCCGAAGGCTCGGGATACTGCAAGGCCCCACCGCGGGATGGCACGGCCTAAGACAGGTTTAGGGTTTAGGGTTCAGGGTTACTATTTCTGGCTTAGTTAAGGGGTTTGGGGTTTAGGGTTTAGGGGGACCAGCTGAGCGCATATGGATTTTGTTGGAGGAATTGCAACTCAACAATAGTGAATGAAGGTGAGTGATGCGGCAAGGCCACCTCCAAAGAAGACCTGCGACGGGCAGAAGACCCTCCAGACGCCGTAGAGGTCCACCACGCCGCCCAAAGCTTCAATGCGCTGCTGCTCATCAGGGCGGTTGGGCTTGTGGTCCTGTGACAAAACCCCTAAACTGGCCCTAAACCTAAACCGGACTTGATGACTTCAACGATTGGCTGGTCAGTCTTCAGTACCTTGAGTGCGCACATCCATAAGTGTTGGCATGTTTGTGTCTTCTGGCGCGACAGTGTCAGGTCGTTTGTTCACAAGTCGTCTTAGCTAGGATTGTCTTGGGCCCGTATGATTACCAGATTCGCTGGCAGTCATCAAGTCCGGTTTCAAACCCTTTTTTTGCATCAGGACTTGTGGAATCGCCTGAACACTGACTTCCACAATGCAAAGAATTAGTAAAACTGTACAATCACAAAGCGCTGTTCCTGCTTGTTCACTCGAAGTACGTGTCAGATGACAAGTCGGTTTCAAACCGCAAACCCCTAAACCCTAAACCCTAAACCCAACCTTCACCCCATGCCCTGCCTGGCTTGAGCGACTCCAGGGCTCGCAACTCATCGAAACTCCAAAACCTCCCAATATAACAACAATCAACATAATCATATAATACTAATAACAATAACAATACCAATAACAATAACAATAACAACAACAACAACAACAACAACAACAACAACAACAACAACAACAATAGCAATAACAATAGTAATAAGCATAACAATAAGAATACTACTAATAATAATACTGGTTCAACTAAGAATGGTAATAATCATGCCTTTTTTTTTGTCAGGTGAGGCCCGGGTGGTCCGGTGCCCTCCGGTGCCCTCCGGTGGTCCTCGGAGAGGCGGCAGGCTTGGAGAGGCTGCGGGGCCAAGGGCTCCTTGGCCGCGCGACAGAGCACCGCTCGGGAGTCACCCACGTTGGCCACCAAGAGCCTCTCAATAACACACACACACACATAGAGAGAGAGAGAGAAAGGGAGAGAGAGGGAGAGTGAGTATGAGATACCATAATGTAGTATAAAAAATATGGTATAATGTAACATCTAGTAGAACAGGGCTGATTCTTGCTGGAGCTTTTGCTATGGATGGGCCTGTAAGCACCGCCTGGCTCGGCGTAGACTAAGGCCAAGAGCAGAGTCGATCCGTCCATCGCCTCATGCTGCCGCGCCCAGCAGAGAAACCTCGGGGTAGTCAGGGAAAGGAGGGTAGTCAGGGAAGGAGGGTTTAGGGTTTAGGGGTGTCAGGGGAAGGCAGGGCAGGGGCCTACGGCTACGGTTGGCGGCTCCAAAAAAACGAGTCTGGGAGCTCCTCATCCACCAGCGCACAGGCCTCCAGGACGGCGTCTCGGAGATGTTCGTCTGTCAAGTTGGGCTTGTTGGCCAGTCTCGTCTGCAAGACTTTGGGAAGCCTGGAACAGAGGAAAAAGCACGTGCGTCACTTGCGCAAGGCTTCAAGGGGGGGAGCTGCGACACCCGAGTTTCATGCACCGAAATGGGTCGGGTTCTACTCATTCCTGACTCGCACATGTCCCCGCAGCCTCTCGGCCAAGTGCTCCACACATCGGTGTCCAGAATGTCCATCGAGCACAAGCACGCCCGGAACCGGCAGTCCATCTGCTGAGAGCAACTCCTTGGCAGTGGGTTATAATAACTAAAGAATAGAAGCAATTGCTATGTTTCCTCTTATTATTTGTTATTACCATGGCCTCGCTGACCATTGATGAAGGTTGGGCTTCTCTGCAAGATGAATCCCATGACACAGTTGCTGGGATAAGTTGAATCATGCCCGGTTTGCAGCGGGACCTCTTCAGCTAGGACGATCTGCTGCCGATGAATCCGGCATCTATTCAATTCAGCCGCAACTTAGAACTGCCGCGGGTAGCCATTGCTTGGGCTCGGTAGTACCCCTGACTCTCCCTTTCCTGCGTGTGGCATGTTGACACAGCATGATATAGCTGTGCGTTTGCCTTTGCTCCTGCAGTCCACGCCTGTTTTGAGAATAGGGTATGGGTGCCGCATCCGTTTCCGGTGTGCCCGCCCGACCTATGGGTGGTGGTGGTGGTGGTGGTGGGTGAGCTGATGCTCCACTGGCTTGCTTTCCAGCAATAAGGGCGTTCATTCGGCGCTTGCTTAGGACTGCTACATGCATAAGAAGGGAGGTGCTGACTCGCACCCGACTCACGACTCTAGCACTCGACCTGCATCATGCAGGAACAGGTCACTGAAACCAAGGCTCGAGGTCAAGAGCGAAGCGATCTTCGTTCGTCTCTTTGCCGCCTTGCCAACATGCCTCAAGAGTCAGAGCTCTGGGAAACCATGACCATCACACGGGTTCCACTACCATGACCTCCCTGCACCGCGTCGGGAATCGTACGGAGAAAGTCGGTCATAACAAAACACTTGAGCGAGCCGCCCATGATTTTCATCAGAAAAGAGCACTGTATGGGACAATCCTGCAATTTTCCCGCGAAGCCTAGTTATGCCACTTCCCTGAATCCGAACAAAACTGAATTAAAGTGGGGGTTGGAAGCTTCCTCGTCGCTGAGGCCCAGGCAGCTCCCAGCTCAAGCGTCAGGTGCCCCACCTGATGCGACATTCGGTACAGCCCGGCAACACATAGATTCAGAAAAAACTTTCACGTGTTCCGTCTGATGGGCTTCCGGGCTAGGGCGGCTCGGTGTACCAGAGGGGTTTCGCAGAATTGCAGCTTCAGGCGATTTCATGCTACCAAGCACGGGACTGAACACACACCGATTCTTCTTCCCTCATGGTAGCATTCATATTTTGAGACCAACCATAGACATGCGTGATCGGTTGATTTGCTGCTCTCCTTGTGTCAGCCGCACCACTCGGAACGTCATGGGGTCACCGCCCCCTGGAGGTTTCCTGTTTTCAACAAGCCCAGCCGTCTTCGTTCTTGCCTTCAGCTCACGGTAGAGAGGTCGCAGTTGCGGCTGCTTCACGTCAGCCTGAACAGTCGCATGCTGTTATGACAAAGAACCCATTGTCTAGTCTCTCCCAGACTTTAATGAAGTGGGGCTGCGTTGGCCTCTTCTCTTCTAGTGCTCTTCGCCTTGGACATATCATCGCAGTACAGCCAGCGAAATATCTGTTCTTGGATCGTGCGGCAAGTAACGCCTGCTACCAAAAGCAGCACGCCGTCAGTAACGGAGAGACTTGACCACAGCCATTGATACTTTCAGAGGTTACCGCGATTCTGTTGTTCATGGACACGACCAGATTTGCAGTGAAGATTCTAGTCTGAGCCCTCCTCTTCTTCTTATGAATGTGCTCTAGACTATACCCGCCACTCTGCACAGGTTAGGCCGGGTTAGGCTCTGCTTGCGTTGCTCCCGCTCGTCGCCTGCGCGCCGCGCGCCAGGCGCGCTGGGTCCGCTCCGCGCACGGCGCGGCGGTGCTCCAGAGCCTCCTGTGCCTGTGGGTTGTAATAATAATAGCAAAAATAAATAATAACAATAATAACAATAATGATAATAATAATAATAATAATATATATATATATATATACACCTCTATATATATATATATATATTGTACACCAGAATCGCATAACGGGTACCAGAGCAAAAGAAGCGAAGAAGAGCAGCAGGGGGGGCAGCCGAGCCTGGCCAAATTCCCCAAGCTGCTGCCGGAGCTGGGACTCCAGTGCCCCAGCCCGGCTGCTCGTGACCTGAAGGCTCTGAAGTAGCCATATGGTGCTCTTCTCAGTCAGTTTCTCTTTCTGTGACGAGTGGCAGGGTTCGTCGAGTTCATGGCCTCCAAGAGCTGCTGACGCAGCCGATGGACGCTGTTCATCACCTCCTCCTTGTGCCTCATCTCGGACCGCACTGCAGACAGCGCGAGCCTCACTTGTGCCGAGGTCTGGGCTGCTTGATCAGCTCGTCCTGGCGATCCAGGTTCTGCTGGTGCAGCTGCGAGTACTTCTCCTCAGATGTCACATTATTCCTGCCTCTCTCCACGAAAAGTTGAATACTCACCGGTTGGAGCTGCCCCACAGACCCAGTTTTGGACTGTAGCAGCCTGCTAGTCGGATCCTCTACTTCGTAAGCTGCGATAAGACACTATGAGGGCCTTCTGATTCCGTTCCAAGTCTCGTGAGTGCTGAGCGCTGTGGCATCAGCAAACTTCCGTGTGCAAAGATAGCACACGTACTGTGGCACCTGCCCGGCTGGCGTGGGTGCTGCAAGCAGCGCCGCCATGGCACGCAATCTCTCCTATGGGTTACAACCATGCTGCACATCTTCCGCATGCAACAGCCCCAGTTGTCTTCAGTCTGTTGATCTTGTTTGGTTTGACCGCAGACCCGAAGCCACAGCGTGCAAAGCTGACCCCTCCCATGTGCTCACGCAGTTGCTTCGGCTCATCAGGATGCATTGCGACATGTCGCACTCTCGCTGTGAAAGACGCCACAACGAGCCTTCAAGCAAGTAGCAGAGGCTTCGCAGTGCAACGACCAGGCGCCCGGCAGCCCACAACAGTGTTTTCCACGCCTCAAGCTCACGTTCTCTAGAAGAAGATCTCATGGGGTTACTTCTACAGTCCACCATATATCCCCACAGCTCCATACGCTTGGCGTATGGAAGCACCAACCCTCAACTTCTTCTGCGATAACTTCCCCGAGGCCCCTGGGCCCTGGGTCCATTTTACACACTTATCTTACACAGAGATTACCAGGACGCAACTCTGAGCCGAAGCACACGGATAACGATGGAGAGGGTCGCCTCAGATCGCAGTGATGGAAAGGCAGACGCCACTGACAACATCGCTGTAAGCCAAAGACCACCGGCGGCGCCTGCTCCACGAATTCCGAGAACTGCACGCATCTTCACACTCAGAACAGGCTTCCGATCAGTCTCCGGCCAGGAATTCTGGATACAGGGTGCAGACGGCTTGCAGCTCCCTTTTTTCAAGCAGAGGTCTCCTTTCGGAGGTATTTCGAAAGGCGCGGTCTCCTCACAGCGGCTTCGCCAGCCCGATGCCAAGAGATATCTCGTAATGTAGGGGTACTATTTTGGGGGCGTTCCTGATTATAATTATAGTATCATGGGCCCCAAAACCCTATTCTAATTATTAAGGCTTCCACATTAGGCGGTCAGAGCTAGGCTGACAGAGCCTTCATCGTCGCGCTGAAAATGCAACTCTCTGAAAAGAGGCAGGACGACCACCGGATTTTGGAGTCGTCAAGCACGACATTACATGCCCGCCTGAGAATGCCTGGGTGCCACAAGAACCTTAAAGCAGATTGGCAACCCCCTGTGCATGTTTTCGCCCCTCTGCCTGCTTGAGCTTTGCTCAAGCAGTGACCCTATGAGAGGTGACACATCGAAACACGCCGCCTGGCTCGGGGGCTTCTGGACCGCAAGAAGCTTCGTCATATTGAAATTGAGAGAACGGCATAAAGCTCCCTCTCAGCCACGTATAGCAGAAGTTGAGTGACGAAGCTTCACCCCAACCCTCACGGCCCATCTTTCCGGCCAGCTTCATCGAAAGAAGGTGACTCCCAAGAATCAGAGGGCAAGCTTGGAGGAACTCCTCCGGGATGCCTTAGGACGAAGGTGTCATCCACTCAGCCAAGCACACGGATTTCGGGCTGTGGTATTCATGCTTGTCTCTGCTGCTGCTACTCTGGCAGTCCTGTACAACTAGCCACGCTATTGTTGCCTCGTCCCATGAGCTTGTCCATTTCTTCGCATCACAGACTTGACCTAGCTCTGACCTACACAACAATCGCTTTCGACACCGAATCCGGCCTTCAATATTTTGACCATGCCAGTTTCGATCCGGATGTCGGTGGGCAGCGGCATCTCGTCTTCGAGCATGGCCCTGCCAAGTTCCTGCAAGGTGAACACATCTGAACACCTTCACACACATCATCGTTGCCCGGCCCAGAACAGGTTAAGGCCGACCTCCTGCTCCTCGTCGCCGTCATACTGCTTTCCAGCTCCGACTCCATTGATGTTGATCCCATCCATATTGATCCCCCTTGGCGCACTGCGAGGTTAGACGCTAGGGCCCAGGGGGTGCTTTGATTCGAAGCGTGTGGAGACGAGCTGCCCCTCAATTCGGACAGACCTCGTCCGCCTCCTGGCACGAATCTGAAACGAAAGAGCAGAACGGATCGGTGCTAATGTGTTACAGAGAGCCATAGAATCCTGATGCGAAGCTTTGCCAAGAACAGTGAAGAGTTGCCCGGGGACCGGGGATCCCCCTTACCCTCAGACCCCTTAACTAGGCACACATGCATTCGAGGGATGCTCTCACGTGAGCCAGCCACACCGCGCCTCACGATGGATGCCGCATGCATGTCTGAGTCAAAGATATGCGAAACCGATCCGTGCATATCGATGATACCCTTGTGGGCATGAACGATCTCCCGCAGGTGATTGTTCTCCTGAGTGCTTCTTTGCCAGGGGACATATATAAGGATCTTTTGGCATCCTGCACTGCCAACACCTGAAACTCAAGTTGGACATGCCGCATGGACTCTTGAACTTGTGGGCCCAAGGCTCTGCATCCCTGCTGTTCTTCTTGGGGTCAACCAGCTCTGGCCACAAGCTGTA